CGGGTATACATTACGAATGAGAAGTAGAAAAAGCCGCATATTTTGCACTGAATTTTAATCTAATGTCAACACACATACAGTGAGTACACGATATGTGTTTGTGCTCTCAATATATACAGTACACACAGAGAGAGCACTGGTATATAATAAAGTGTAATAGAAGTGAAAATGATTATTATGTTTGTATTGAATCAATCTTTTATGAAAAGCGACTGCTATTGCATGACTTGGAGGGACAGGGAGGCAGAGGGGAGAATGGAGAGCAGGTAATACTCCAGGGATATCGTATCAAACGTATAGAAAATATAGTTTGAATACTAGGAGTGAAGTGAGACTAAAGCATACGGAATAAAAATTGAGTGAAAATTTTCGTAAACTTCAAAAAATACTACACAATAATCGGCACACAATTTGATGGCATTAAGAGTGAGTGTTATATACCAGTGCCTTACATGCGGGGTATGTACCCATCAAATCAATTTTTCCCTTTACATCGATTCATCATTAGGCTCCGTGTGCTCGCACTCAGTCCACGGCCTATTCAAGTGTGTGTTTGCAATGAGGCTAACGGTGCCATTACATACAGAATACACAGAATTGACTCATTCATCACAATTTTTATACACAACACCAGAATTATAATGCAATGCAATCGACAGTAATATTGTATTATTGCTGATCATAAGTGGTCTCATTTGAAGTTTTGCAAAGTTTTTTACTCTAATATTATTACAAAACCTTATTATAAAAGAGTCGGTAATTAGTTGAGACGCGTCTCTCCATTGAGTGATACGTCTATTAAACATAATTAATAGAAATTTGAACTCAAAAACGTACTCATCATATGATAATACACCGCTATATATATAGTGATTTTATTTTGGGACAAAAAAGCTCATCAATAATTAAGTGGTGACTCAACTCAAACCCAGAAACCCAGCGAAAATCATGAATAACTTATTACATACCATATATACTGTATGTATATTCGTATGGTTTTTGTTGGCATCCATTAAATCATTGTTATTCACGATTTATAATCATTGCTATGGAAATGATGTTTTCTTTTCCTTTTTATCGCTCATTATTATAGCCCTTATTATTGCATGAAATGCTTTGGTTTTGGTTTTTGGCGATTTGATTGTGTCGATTGAAATATGTCTTCAAATTAAGTCCAGAAAATAAAGTAACACTTATTTGCCATTCAGTCGGCGTGTTTGGCCGGTAGTAACCAACCGCTAGTATGATATTATTGAAACATTAACGTAGCGTTCAGTTTAATGTATCGGAATCATTTTTAATCAGACAAAAACCAAAAACTAGTCCACAAAACCTACTACGGTATAAATCTGTGCTCTAAACGATTCAGTGGTTTTACTATCGGCACAGTTTAGTGCATCTGTTGCACACACACTACGGCCCCATAAGCACTCATTTTTTGTGTGTTGTTTTATCTCGAGTTTGTTATATTATGTGGTGTTTTATGTATCAAAAACGCACAATATATTGTCGTCAAATATTTAATGTGCTGTTTATGGAGAACATCTAAAGTATATAATCGTTGATCAAAATGCTGTTATGTTTGACTCGAGTTAACACTGCTTTTTAGTATACCGTACACTTTGCATTGAGTTATGTTACAGTGTTTGCTGTAATCTTTTTGTCATATATTATTTTTTAATAAAATATAAATTTTACAATTTAAGTAGTAATAGTATTATTATATTCAAATTAAATCTACTTTATTAAATTTATTGAAAAATACCCGGTATAAATAAAGTTAAATAACTATTACTGTAGATATGGGGCATACAGTAGTTATTATTGTACAGAAGTATTAAATTACAGCACTTACTATGGATTGCCATTGAAATGCTCCCCGAAAGCAGACTTACCTGCGATGCCTTATAGTGAATGCATATGTTGTCCATAATTTGATTGAGTGTTACATAAGATTGTGTTTTGAGACAAATATAGTTAGCGTTGACTTAATTGCATATCACTTGTCACTTAACATTGTGATTGATATGGCCTTTGGGTTAAAGGTTAACACTTCTAAGAATTTGCGCAACACTTATATGAATGGGATAATAAATATATCAATAAAACACATTGTAATTGTTTAGTAAAACTATAAAAAAATAATCATATTTTTCTTAAAAATTATAACAAAATATTTGAGTTATTGGAAAATCAATGTTATATGTCTTTTATTACTATATTATGAATCATTTAAAATCAATTTATGGTGACTTCTTATGTCAACAAAGTCTTAAGGTTATTGATATAAGAGTTGCCACTTAAGTCTATATCCTATGAAAAATAGTGTAAACAATTGCTTTATTAATAATTTGTGATTTAGCACAACAAATATTATTTTTGTTACACATGTTTATACCGAGTGACAATTAATATTTCAGTAATTTTATAAATTAAAGTGATTAATTAAAAGCTTAATCAAGTATAGCATAAAGTTTCCATGTTTATTTCATATTTATGTTGGCATTTATTCAATATCATAAAAATAATATGTTTATATGAAGTAAAATCTTATTTACACATAAACTCAAGTCATGTATAAATTGATGTTTGAATGAAAAATTTTAAAATAAAAATTGTTTTGTGTATATAATATAAAAACAAATGAAATCTCGTGTCAAGTAAACACTAGTGTATAGAAAGCGCCGAAAGTGTAGAAAACATTATCAGAAAAGTCTTATTAAAATGTAAGTCAGGGCTCAGATTCCGGGAGTAGTAGGGGTTTAGTCCTCTCTCTCTCTCTCTCTCTCTCTCTCTCTCTCTCTCTCTCTCGTCGTACTCTCGTATTCAAAAAGCAATTCAATATAACTTACAGAATACAGGAGACGTCGACTGAATTGAGAGCCAGTCATAGAAAATAAAGTATTACTCTCGGAGTGAGTCTTTCGCTTCAGTCAAGCATTTCAGGCATTTGTTGCGAAACTGCACTTCAATTGCAGCACTGATTCTGCACAACAACACACAAATTGAATCAAAACAAAAAAACTGGTTATAGATTATACTTCACTTCAAATAAGATAATGTTTTGAATGACATTATGAACGCCTGTATTCACTACTATATATCAAAAATTAATTTATTTAATGAAATCGTATAAAACGTAGACATAAATTGTTTATTAATTAAACTTTATTTATAGTCTTTAGAAATACACATAATATTTATTATTTACAAAAATCATTTCATAAATTCATTTTATTTTTTAGATTTTTACTATAAATATTTATTTTCAATATATATGTAACATAAGAATTTTGTATTAAATTTATGATTTATATTTAATAAATAAAAAATTTGTCAATAATTTATTTTACAATATAATATGTGGTCGTTTGATACAAACCGGACATACAATCGGATTATTATTACAGACATCCGGTGCTGTGACCGACACTTAATTGGATTGGAATTTGTGTTCAAATTATTGATTGAATTTTTAAGGCATTACTATATAAAACAATGACATATCAGACATTACATGAGATTAACACGAAATGAGTGTTATTTTGTGTAAAAGTGATGTAAAATGTAATGATTTTTGACTGAAATGTAATTAAATTCACAATTAATTTGATTCAAAACGAAGGGATGATTCAGTTGAGGGAAGGCTTTTGGAAACCAATTGTTTTGCGGTTAAGAAACAGCGAAATCTCTCTAAAGGTGGGTCGGGAGACATCATTTGTCTGCCAACACTCGACCATCAGATCGTATATCTCCTTCGGACAGCCTTCAGGTCGGGGCAAAGCCATCAGTCTCTGTCCATCCATGGCATCGGTGGTAAAGGGCTGGTAATAAATGGCTTTATTAGTGCAGTCCTGACAATGAATTTGTGGATAAAAGAGAAAATGAATATCAGATCAAAACATGTGTTTCAGAAATATTATGAGAAATGGATGAGAGATAGAGTGGAGGAAAAGAGTGGTCTAAACGTATTTCACGAGTGTTATAGTCGGCAGACAAGCACTTATCTCTGTTTAACAAACTCCTTTCTGACCAGCAGGTATACCACCATCCCAAACTCGCTTGTTATGCAGTTATAGAGGGTTTTCCACTAGGGAAACGAGTAGACATCGGACTTATTGGTGAATATGCCGTGTATTAGGGCCTCAGGACTGGCCCACCGAATGGGTTACGGAAAGCACATTAGCGAAAACAACCGATTCCGCACCCGTGGCCTCAGTGGCTAAAACTAGTCGTTTAACAAACACATTTGGTTATATAAAGACCGCCGCTACAGAAACACCTGCATAGGGTTAGTCTCCAAGTATTTCATACCCGACGCCACTTCACAAGCGATGTATATCAGCGTTGAATAGCTGTTGGAAAGCATGAGATATACAGAGAGTGTGAGACGGAGTGTGGCTTTCAATACGATTTCAATATTATTAACACTAATCACACGAAACCAATGCCTCACACATTGATTACAATGAGTTTCCCTTTCGATGTTTAATATAGAAACTAATACTCTATTTGTGACTCAACTCATGATTTGCATTTCAATGCCTTTCGTGTAATCGCTTTTGTTGGCTAAGGCGTGGGCACCGGAGTCACCGATTTTGATCAGCAAATTGTTTGTGTAAACCAATATATTTCTGGCGGCGATGTCTTTGTGGACGTATCCCAAGGTCTCCAAGTATTTCATACCCGACGCCACTTCACTCGCGATGTATATCAGCGTTGAATAGCTGTTGGAAAGCATGAGATATACAGAGAGTGTGAGACTGAGTGTGGCTTTGAATATGATTTCAATATTATTAACACTAATCACACGAAACCAATGCCTCACACATTGATTACAATGTGTTTCCCTTTCGATGTTTAATATAGAAACTAATACTCTATTTGTGACTCAACTCATGATTTGCATTTGATTTCAATATTATTAACACTAATCACACGAAACCAATGCCTCACACATTGATTACAATGTGTTTCCCTTTCGATGTTTAATATAGAAACTAATACTCTATTTGTGTGAGTTGAGTACTAAACGTAACTTAAACTAAATACTTTGTAATATAGTTATAAATGATTTGAGGGGATTGAAGATTTTTTAATTAAAAGTTAGCGTATTTTTTACCTATTTTATAATTTTATGTCATTTAAAAAATAAGTTAACAAATTATTCACTGTATAGTATTTGATAAATTGACAAAATTCAAACTTATTAAAAATATAACTTGGCTAATATTAATAACCTATATATAAAACATTAAAAATAATATGAAAACAAACCCGATTTGATTGATATCACAGTTCCTCAAGAAGTGGTTCAGATCACAGTCTCCGACCTCCAAAACCATTGCCGTGTAATCAGATGTCGTGACATAACCGAAGAGTTTAGCGATTCGTTCGCTTTTGGCGGATATAAACCATTTAGACTTCATTTCGTGGTAAAACTCATTTCTTAACTTCTCGGTCCTCAATGCCTTCAATACGACGAGTGTTTCGTCGACTACCTCTCCATCGCTGGCCTGCGATCTCATCTTATATTTGTATTTTCCGATCGATATTTCGCCAAATTTTGATGAACCAAATGGCGGACCAATCAATTGGATCTCTTCTTCGCTGATCTGAGGAATGCATTTCAGGTCAACGATCGCGTCGTTCACACCATTTGAGTATTTAAAGGACTTCATATCATTGTCAGTACCATTACTGTACTTTTTCTTCATTATAAGGCTATTTGTCTGGATTTTCGGTGATTTGATGACATCAGTGGACGCGTAATACCTTTGGCTCATGAGTTGATTGATTTGTGGCAATGGTTTTGGACTGAATTCATATGCGGTTTGTATTATAGTGTTAGTAGTGTTGGTGTTGTTGTTATTGCTGATCACCGGCACAGTGACGGTCACATCGGGAACAGCGTATTCAGGGACTGCATAATCGGGATCATTGGCTGATGAGGATCGGGATGAGTTGATGTCTTTTGGGTCGCAATACAGTGGAGATGTTGCTAAGTCCTTAAGCTATGGAAAGTATAATAAGTAATATACTTATTAGTTATCAATTGTAGATTTATAAGTATATAATCATATCATACATTACTAGACGCGACGGTATGTCCGGACTTATTATTCCGTCTCATATGCAGCCGAAGTAATACAATACTAGCGCTGAATATGATGGTGAAGACCAAT